ATTTTATTTATTCCCACCAAGAAGATATCCAACCACCTTATGAACATCTCCAAATCACTGCCCACCAAGTTAACATCAGGACCAAGGGTTTGTTAAGTTTGAGATTTACAAACTAGTAGGAGTAGAGAACAATCACATCAAATTAGAGGAAATTAGTTCCAATGAAGGTGATGCACCATATTTAAGGATATTTTCTTTTCAAAAACTATCAGAATATTGCTAAGTGATGCTATTTTATGTTCCTTGTTTTGATGGAATAACTTCATATACGCGTTAATAAACATGATAAAGTTGACAAGAAATTTTGAGAAATTCTTATGGAACATTTTATTTTTCATTTTTTGGATACATAGGTGAGATCTGCTTTTAGTTTCCTGATTAGTTTATTCACATGCAGTTGGTAAAGCTAATCTTTTTAATTGTCAAGTACTAAACTCTTCATTCGAGCATGGAAATTGGCTGTGTCAAGCTAGTGTGAATGAATGTTAGCATTTAAAACTTTGGCATCTTCCCTTTTGCTTGTCTATCTTCTTTATGGGGTGATGAGCAAATTTCTACATGCTTTCAACCTAGAAATCTTAAAACATTGCATGTTTGCATTGAGAATGAGGCCATCTCAAGCCTCGGGCAATGAGGCCATCTCAAGCCTCGAGTTAATTTATGAGTTAGATTTGAGTTATATCTGGTTTGACAAATAAATCCATGTGCTTGAGAGAACAAGCATAATTTCAATTATCACTAGCAAAAAACAAATATGAACACATTCCGTTTATTATATTGATCAAGTAAGCCATTTTGAGTGTAACTTGTTTCAAAACAATTATGAAAATAAATAGTATATAATGCTGGTTAGGGTACATAGTATATGCTCATATTTCATAAAAAAAATATTTGAGTTTTAATCGAGCAACTAGCTTAACAAAGCTTGACTATTGGGGGCCTTCTAGGATCACTTTTGGTTTTTTTTTTGTTTTTGTTTTATTTTGTTTATTTTTTTGATTTAAACAAAACATGTTTGATATCACAACATGATTAGTTATTTTTAAAAACATTTTAAACAACTTTGAGGTGAACAAAAAATGAAAGCATGCAAAATATGTACTAAACAAACAACAACAACAACAACAACACAACAACAACAAAGTACAACAACAAAGTCTTAATCTCACTACGTGGGGTCGACTATATGAATCATTTTTCTCCATTGCGTCCTATTTAGTGTCATATTTTCATTTAATTCTAATAAATTAAGATCATTTTTTATATTATAAGCTCAAGTCTTACATCTACTCTCCTAATCATATCATCAAATGGTCGACGTTTAATGTGACCAAACCATCTAAGACGACTCTCTCTAATTTTGTCTGTCACTGCAGCTACACCAACCCTATCACAAAGATATTCATCTCGCATTTTGTCTCTAAGTGTAAAGCCACTCATCCACCTAATTATTCCATCTCGACAACACTTAACTTAGTATTATGCTTCTCTTTTAAAGGCCAGCATTCAGCGCCATAGAGCTTGCAGGTCTCACCACCATCTTATAAAATTTTTCTTTCAGTCTAAGCAGTATTTTTTCATCACACAAAAGGCTAGAAGCATGCCTTCACTTCAACCAACCAACTTGAATTCTAATATTAACATCCCCATCTATATCACCATCGCTTTGAACAACAGACCCGAGATATCTAAATCGTTCACATCTTTTAATAATTTGATCACCCAAAGTTACACTTCTGTCACTAGAGCTACTACTACTAAAATTACTTTCCATGTATTGAATTTTAGTTCTACTTAAGTGAAGGCCTTTAGACTCCAGTGTAGACCTCCATAATTCAAGTTTTTCTTGGGCTTTTTCTCTCGTCTTATCCAGGAGAAGGATATCATCAGCAAAAAACATACACCAAGTTACATCCTCCTGTAAATGTCTAGTAAGACCAACCATAACTAAAGCAAAGAGATATGGGCTTAAAGCCGATCCCTGATATAATTCAATAGAAATAGGAAAATAATTGGTTAATCCTTCTTCTGTTCAAACACTAGTAACAACTCTAGTATACATAACCTTAATGACTTTAATATAAGCCATATCAACAACTTTCTTCTCAATAACTCTCCAAAGGACATCTCTTAGAACCTTATCGTAAGTTTTTTTCTAAATCAATAAAAATCAAATGTAAAAATCAAATGTAGATCTGTAGATCCTCCTTATTATCTCTGTACTTCTCCATCAAACCTCTCAATAAATGTATAGCTTCCATGGTAGACCTACTCGGCATAAATCCATATTGATTATGAGAAATCGTTGTAATACATCTTAACCTATGTTCAATTACCCCTCCCGTTATTTTAAAGTATGACACATCAATTTAATTCCTCTATAATTTGCACACTCTTGTGCATCCCCTTTATTCTTACAAATGGGTAACAAAATACTCTTCCTCCACTTCTCAAACATCTTTATAGTTTTTAAAATAATATTAAAGAGTTTAGTAAGCCAAGAAACTCCCAAATCTCCTAAAATTTCCAGACTTCAATTGGGTTATCATCGGGTCCTACAAAATTTTAACCCTTGATTTTTTTTAAAGCCTCCTGGACTTCTTTTTTGTTAACGCGGCGGTAAAAATGAAACATTTTATTATTATTAACGATATTAAGATCACTAAAGATGATCGTATTTTTCGAAATTTCAATAAAAAGTTTATCAAAATAACTTACCCACCTATGTTGAATATCTTTTTCTAAGAAAAATACTTTTGAATATCTTTTTCTAAGAAAAATACTTTTTGATTTTTATCTTTAATACACTTTACTTGAGTTAAATCTTTACTTTTCTTTTTTCTTTGTTTGGCTAGTTTAAAATATGCACTAAACAAACATATTTTAAAATAAAAATAAAAATTAAAACAAAGAAAAATGAAAATACAGAAGTAATCCTAAACAAACCCTTTGTTTTAGGAGTTGAAATTTTATAACTTTTCATTGACCCAGTAAAGGGTGTTTTGCAAAAATTAAAAAGATTGACCCAGTAAAGGGTTTGTTTAAGAATAAAGGGGATGCAGTAAAGGAGTTGAAAAATTAAAAAGATGCCTGAGGAATGGAGGAAGAGTATTTTGATCCCCATTTTTAAGAATAAAGGGGATGCACAAGAGTGTGCAAACTATAGAGGAATTAAGTTGATGTGTCATACTTTAAAATTATGGGAGAGGGTAATTGAACATAGGTTAAGATGCATCACGAAAATTTCTCATAATCAATTTGGATTTATGCCTGGCAGGTCTACTATGGAAGCTATACATTTATTGAGAGGTTTGATGGAGAAGTTCAGAGATAATAAGGAGAATCTACATTTGATTTTTATTGATTTAGAAAAAGCTTACGATAAGGTTCCAAGAGATATCCTTTGGAAAGTTCTCGAGAAGAAATGTGTTGATATGACTTATATTCAAGTCATTAAAGATATGTATACTAGAGCTGTTACTTGTGTTCAAACTGAAGGAGGATTGACAAAATATTTTCCTATTTCTGTTGGTTTACATCAGGGATCGACTTTAAGCCCATATCTTTTTGCTTTAGTTATGGATGGTCTTACTGGACATCTACAAGAGGATGTACCTTGGTGTATGCTTTTTGCTGATGATATTCTTCTCGTGGATAAAACGAGAGAAAAAGCCAGGAAAAACTTGAATTATGGAGGTCTACATTGGAGTCTAAAGGCCTTAGATGGGGGTGTTAATAGTAGAATTCAAGTTGGTTGGTTGAAGTGGAGGAATGCTTCGGGCCTTTTGTGTGATAGAAAAGTACCGCTAAGACTGAAAGGAAAATTTTATAAGATGGTGGTGAGACCTGCAATGCTCTATGGCGCTGAATGTTGGCCTTTAAAAGAGAAGCATAATAATAAGTTAAGTGTTGCCGAGATGAGAATGATTAGGTGGATGAGTGGCTTTACACTTAGAGACAAAATGCGGAATGAATATATTCGTGATAGGGTTGGTGTAGCTCCTGTGACAGACAAAATTAGAGAAAGTCGTCTTAGATGGTTTGGTCATATTAAACGTCGACCATTAGATGATCCGATTAGGAGAGTAGATGTTTTAAATTCGACTTGTGTTAAGAAAGGCAGAGGTAGACCTAGGAAGAATTGGGCTTATTGTATTAAAAATGATCTTAATTTACTAGAACTAAATGAAAATATGACACTAAATAGGACGCAATGGAGAAAAAGGATTCATGTAGCCGACCCCACGTAGTGGGATTAAGGCTTTGTTGTTGTTGTTGTTGTTCATTGACCCAGTAGATGTTATGAGTTATGAAATGTTTTTTAGAAGCTTTGTCATCATTGAACTGAATCATGAAACTGTGTATTTCATTAGAAAACAGATTTTGTTTTAATTTCATGACATGTGATTTGACTCGACTCAGAAACTACTGAAATAGGCAAGGTTCATTGTACATTTGAAGGTCGGTTGGTAATTAGCACACTCACTCAAATCATGAACATCTAACTGGACCTTTGTTGCTGATTAACTTCAACTCGAAATAAACAAAATGCTTCCCAGACATAAGTATAGTGATTGGCGTAGCCAGCATACTAGGTTTTGGTTTTGTTGTTTTGAGTAAAGATTTTGGTGATGGTGCCAGCATTGTTACTGGGTCATAGACTGAGTATTTTATAATCCATTTTGAGAGCCAAGTGAATAGACTATTTTATTATAATTTTGTTGGCCACGATTGCTTGATCATTAACTTCATCACTTGATAAATTGGACAGTTTTATAAGTTGCTTCTGGTTTAACTTTGAATTAATATGAAGCTTTGCTATGATTAATTTCAAATGAAAAAAAAAAAGTGAAGTAAATTTGAACTCAATGTGAACAAACTCTGCAGTACTAATTGATTATTGAGAATGAGTCATTGTTTTTCTCAATATTTTTTCTTTAAGAAGAGGAGGATAGCTACATATTAATATTTATTATATTTCTCCCACATTTTCAGGAGAAGTTCTTGCAGGTCAATTTGCAAGTTTAGGTGCAAAATTGATACTTTCTGCTCGCAATGTAGGAGAACTTGAGAGAGTTAAAATGGAAACTGTTGGCAAGTACAATATTTTCTGTAGTAAAAACATGATGTTGAATAAAGACCTTATTTAATTTTCATTTATTATTTGTTGATATTTAGGCAAACATACTGGTTCCTGTATTGAGATACTGCCTTTGGATTTGGCATCTGGTGAAGAAGCTCTGAAAGATGCTGTTCAGAAGGCAGAGTCCCTCTTCTCTGGTTCTGGTGTGGATTATATGGTACATAATGCAGCCTTTGAACGTCCGGTTAGTGTTTCTAGTTTATTTTTAGACTTCAATTTGCACTCTTAATGAAATTAATTCATAATTATAAGTTGATGTTTCTAATGGCTGTCTCTGCAGTATGATACGAGATTTATTTCTCCTTACCAGAGATAGGTAGTCACCATTTAAACAACTTAATATATTTAATTTGTTTATTTGGCTTGCAGAAGAGAAAAGCTGTGGATGAAACTGAGGAAGGGATCCAGGTATTGAATTATTTTACTGGTTACTTGCTAGCATCAAGTTTTTTTGATAGTTCGACTTATATGTCTTCTTCAATTAGACCACATTCAACATCAATGTACTGGGGACTATTACTCTTACAAAGCTTCTTGTATCTTTCATGCTTAAAAGGAGAAGAGGCCATTTTATTGTGGTATGTTGAAGATAAGACGATTATAAATTGATTTATGATTCTTGCTTAAACTTTTTCTCAAATTGTAATTGAATATTATTTTTAGATGAGTAGTGCTGCAGGTAAGTGCCCTGCACCGGGGCAGGCTATATACTCAGCATCCAAGAATGCTCTTAATGGATATTTTCACACTTTGCGATCTGAGGTATTGTGTCTGCTAGTTAATTGAATGCTTGAGAATGAAAATTTGTTTAGTTTTTCCTGGCATTAATTGTTTTGTTTAAACTCATGGAAATCTGAAATCTGAAGTATCATCTTCATTTGACTGTTAAGAATAGTTTCTAAGGATATTTTCATTTAACTAATTGTTTTATTTCCTTGAGCTTAAAATTTCAATGTTTGCATCCTCAAAGTCCCAAAAATGTCCTTGAAGTCAAATGCACTTGTAAAATGGGCGTTTTTTCAAACTTTTTTTTTTTTTTTTTTTTTTTGGGAAATTGCACGCAACATAGTCCACCATATTTGTAAATCTTTTATCTAGGTAAATAAGTTCTATTTTTAATATTCTTGGATCCTTGAAGTGCAACATCATCAATCTTGTACCATGAAATTTCAGCATCTCTCTTTCCTCGTGAGATTGCCATGTTAACCGTGTGAAATTTTTCTGTCCTTGAGATTTTGCTTCCCTTACACAATATTCTATATAATTTATTGATCTCAATGATAAGCCCACTTGTTAATGCATGTGAGAGTATTAATGCTTAGTTTTACATCTGATGGTTACAAAATAGGTTGGTATTGAAGTACCGAGTTCCTGGCCTTTATCTATAGGCCTAAAATTTTAGGTTGAAAATAAGTGTTAACACTGGTGCATTACGCTTAACTTTTGCTCACCTTTATTTTACATTTCCTACCAAGTGTTATTAAAGTATAGATTTGGTTGTGATCAAGTGATTTGTAGTTTGTGAGTCTTTTAGATTTTTAGTTTACTAAGATGTTTAAGAAAAGGTTAAAACGCAAGCAACTCCTATTATTCCTACCTATGGCTGATTGAACTCTTGATGCATGATAGTTGACGATGTTGAAAGCTTCCGTTTGAGGGAGAATATGATGCAGTGCATCATAGATCTTTTTACTGGGTCTATTGCAAAAGAATAAGCACCTTATAGATTTATTGTGTTTTAGGTGGATGTGCTGTATTATATGGATCTGTTGTGTACTTGTAGATATATTATATATTATGTGAATTTGTAAGAGTCTAGTGGACATAATTTAAACTCTACGGGTATTATGAAGCTAGAAAATTACATGGTAGACATTGAATGTAACTAGTTTGGAGGGTTTTAACTTTAGCTCCACTTTTGATTTGTAATTGAAGAAATATTAACTTGGAGGCCAATACAGATGGTTGCATGGGTTTAGGGATGCCCAAGAAGAATTTCAGATACCACTTTAGCCAACTAAGTGACCGTCTAACTTTGCCATTTTTTACAATGGGTCTAATCACCTTAGCTACACTTCAACTACCATAAGAAATGGAACCAACTCTCTCCTTTTTGAGGAAATTTGAAATTTAAAGGTTGTAGTATGTTTACAATGGGTATTATGCTTGTAGAAAGATGTTTAAATATTTAAAATGTTGTAGTAGTGAATGAATGTGATTTTGGAATGAATTTGGTATTTTTGGTGCAAGCAATTCCTCTCTTGTAGCTTAGTCTCTGAGAGTCCCTTTTCTATGGGTTTCTAATTTTGTAACTCATTTTTTTCTTCAGTAAGTATTGATCAAAATTCAACACTAATCTTTCTGCCATCTACCCTAACTTCCCTTGGTTAGTCTATATCTTTCCAACAACAACAACAACAACAACAACAACAACAACAACAAGCCTTTTATCCCACTAAGTGGGGTTGGCTACATGAATCCATTTTCTCCATTGCATTCTATTGATTGTCATATTTTCATTTAATTCTAATAGATTAAGATTATTTTTTATACAATATGCTCAAGTCTTTTTAGGTCTACCTCTGTCTTTCTTAATATCAGTCGAAGCTAAAATATCTACTTTCCTAATCGGATCATCAGGTAGTCGATGTTTAATGTGAACAAGCCATCTAAGACGACTCTCTCTAATCTTGTCCTCCACTGGAGCTTCATCAACCCTATCACAGATACAAACCCTATCACAGATCACAGATACATTCATTTCTCATTTTGTCTCTAAGTGTCAAGCCACTCATCCATCGAAACATTCTTGTCTCAGCAATACTTAACTTTGGTTTATGCTTCTCTATTAAAGGCTAACATTCTATACGCCATAGAGCATTGCAGGTCTCACCACCATTTTATAAAATATTTCTTTCAGTTTAAGCGGTACTTTTCTATCACACAATAGGCCCAACGCATTTCTCCACTTCAACCAACCAGCTTGAATATTACTAATAACATCCCATCTATATCACCGTCACCCTGAACAATAGACCCTAGATATCTAAAACGTTCACAATTTTTCATGATTTGATCACGCATAGTAACAACTTTGCCACTAGAGCTATTACTACTAAAATTACATTTCATGTATTCATTTTTAGTTCTAGGCCTTTAGACTCCAATTTAGACCTCCATAATTTAAGCTTTTTCTGAACTCCTTTAGTCATGTCCACAAAACAGATATCATCAGGGAAAAGCATACACCAAAGTACATCCTCCTATAACTGCCAAACAAGAGTATCCATAACTAAAGAAAAAAGATATGGGCTTAAAGACAATCCCTAATGTAATCCAATTAAAATAGGAAAATATTTGGTCAATCCTCTTTTGATTTGAACACAAGTAACAACTCTAGTGTACACATTTTTAATGACTTGAATATAAGTCATATCAACACCTGTCTTCTCTAGAACTCTCCAAAGTACTTCTCTTGGAACTTTATCTTAGGCTTTATCTAAATTAATAAAAATCATATGTAGATCCTCCTTATTCTCTCTATACTTCTCCATCAAACCTCTCAATAAATGTATACCTTCTATAGTAGACCTACCTGGCATAAATCCAAATCAATTATGAGAAATCTTTGTATCACATTATTTGTTCAATTACCCTCTCCCATAATATTAAAGTATGACAGATCAACTTAATTCCTGTATAATTTGCATACTCTTTTGCATACCCTTTATTCTTAAAATGGGGACCAAAATACCCTTCCTCCACTCAGACATCATTTTAGTTTTTAAAGTAATATTAAAGAGTTTAATAAGTCAAGAAACTCCCAAATCTCTTAAATATTTTTGCACTTCAGATATCATCAAATTTTACTAATTTTCCACCTTTGGTTCTCTTTAAAGTCTCCTAATCTTCTTTTTTACTAATGCAATGGTAAAAATAAAACATTTTATTGTTATTAATGATATTAAGATCACTAAGGTCGATCGTATTTTTAGAAACTTCGTTGAAATGTTTATTAAAATAGCCCACCCACCTATGTTGAATATCTTCTTCTAAGAAAAACACTTTTTAATTTTCATCTTTAATACACTTTATTTAGTTAAATCATTAATTTTATCTCTTTGTTCGGCTAGTTTATACACATATTTTTTACTTTTTTTTGGTATTTAATTTAGTGTAAAGATTACTAAAAGTAAAATTTCTAACTTCACAAATTGTTGTTTTGGACTCCCTACGGGCCACCTTATAGTTTCCCCAATTCTCTAAGCTTTTACATTTAAACTAATTTTTTATAACACTTCTTTTATGTTATCTTTTCTTGCACATTATTATTCCACCATCAATTATTTTTATTATAGAAAATTTTCTATTTGATTCTCCAAACACATCAATTATTTTTATTATAAAAAATTTGTTGTGTGATTCTCCAAACACATCTTTTGCCACTTATTTAATAGTGTCTGTTATTTTATTCCATGTAGAATTTGCTTCTTCATGAACATCCTAAATCGTGAAATATTGAAGTTTATTAATAAAAATAATTTTATTTGTGTTTTTTATGTGTCTTCATCTAATTCAATGACAATGATTTCTAGTATTTTTTACCTTACAATTAGTTTTTTTAAAATTCAAAACTAATAATCAATGTTGAGTACATAAATATTTACTTAGAATGATATTACGATATTTACATTCTCGATTATTTCTTCTTCTCATAAGAAAATAATCAATTTGTATTTTATTAGATCCATTCTTATAAGTAATAATATGCTTATCTCTTTTCTTAAATAAAATAATAGTAATAACAAAATCACACCTTAAAATAAAATTTAATATTGTTCGACCTTCTTCACCAAACACTCCAAATCCTTAACCACCATGACAATTTTGAAAATCTTCGATCACTCTTCACCATGTTTAAATCTCTTTCAATAAAAATTCTTTCTTTAAAAAGTATCATTAGTATTAATTTTTCTAGGTCATTCTGAAGTTTTTCTTTAGAACCTATATCTAAACCTACTTAAGGAGCATAAACACTTATAACATTAAAAATTTTAGTATCAACAATAATTTTAGGGGCTTAAATTCTATCTCTGATTCTATTAATTTTTATAATTATTCTTGAAACTCTTATTTATAATTACACGTACATCATTTGCAATGTGATTTCTACCTGAATACTAAAGTTTAAAACTTTAGCTATCAATATTTATAGTCTTTTTTTCCAACCCATTTAGTTTCTTGAATACATAAGATATTTATTTTCCTATAAATTATAATATCAACTAATTTCATTAATTTATCTGTGAGAGCACCTTGGAATTTAATTTCATGGACTAACTTTCTGACTCATATTTGTCCATAATGTGAGAACCCTTGCTTATTTGACAATACGCTTAAGCACCAGTGTAGTGGCTCTTACACGTTTTTCACTGTATTCAGGCCATACAACACATTGCTTCCTGGAGACACTCTAGCATTTACATAAGGATTTGAACGATTCATGTCATGATTTTTTAACCCATTTTACGCTGGTTGTTGACTACATATCGCAACCTTCCAGTTTTCACAATCGGGGCTTGGGTTTGGCGATGTTAGTCCATATCTTTCCCTTTGAAAAAATAAAAAATTTGCTCAACTCACCAAAATCTGCCTAGACTAGGCTCTCCATACCAAGATTTTACCCTCTTTTGACCTATTAAAATCACTTGAAAAATTCCACGAAAGTCCACAAATATAATTTACAAACACCGCTTCACAACTTAAGCGTTTCAAGGCAACGCTACCCAACCATAAATTCTTGAAAAATTCCACCCAACTCCAAATCTATTCTTTAAATACTTCTCCGCCATCTTGAAGTGTTTACAAGTCTATTGGACTCTCCATTTGTAAACCCTAGTTGTTCTAATTCAAGCATGCAATAAATCAGCCGAAATGAATTATCATGATTTAGCTCGCCTTAGACATCACAGTACCTTTCTAAAATCCTCCAAAGTAATTCTGGATTTCTATGGAATATTAGATGACTACTACAGCAGCTCTAGGCCTCAGGATAGTTTATTCAAGGCTACATCAAAATTATTGTTGATGTTAGGAACTCTCACCTAAATTTTTAAGTCATGTGAGTGTATTGGATTATGCCCTCCATGTGATGGTTGAAAAAATACGTTGGTGTTGAATACCAAGTATTCGACCCTCATCCACGACCTTAAGCTCTTGGGTTAAAAAATTAGTTTTACAATTGGTTTAATAGTTGCAAATTTTATGTCGCTTTAGTTCACACTCCATAAAGAGTGGTATCAGAGTTGATTGTTTGACTAGGGTCAAGTCCTTGATGTGATTTGTAGTTTCCATGAATCTTGGTCAATTTCTTCTTTGGTCAAATAAGATCAAAGAGTAGGTGACTTTTAGAAGCCTATTTGTGGTGTATTAAGTCCAACTTAGACCCACTTTTCTCCACACTCCTTGACATCACCAAAGTGAAAATTATTTCATTCAAAGAATTATAATAAATTATATTGTGGGAGGAAAAATGAGGACTTGGCATCCTAGGCTTCACCCAATTCACTCTTAATATGGGCGTGATATTAGAGAAGTAGATTGCAGTGGTGGTAAAATTTTTGTGGGCATAATTATAGATGAACGAGAAACTAGAAAATTTGAGCTGATTGTTAAGATGGTTGTAGGAATAATGCATAAGACTTTGAATTATAGTGGTTTTATGTGTAAGATGTTCCAAAAAATATTGGCATTTGAATGAGTTAATCTCGTGCTCAAGAACCTAAAGTGATTTGCCCATTCTTTTGTTCCTTTCCAACACTTTTTTCTTTTTATTTCTTGATGTTCCATTTGATGTTTAGTGGCTATCAATCTATTGTGCTATAAATCTCCTTTCAATTAATGCAGTTATATTCTGAAGGCATCAAAATAACAGTTGTGTGTCCTGGTCCTATTGAAACATCATCAACTTCTGGAGCAGGATCTTCTAGTATCAGCTCTTCTGAGGTTAGTTTGTCAATTTATTTTTGAAAGTTATCTACGACAGCCTTTACATTTTTTTCTTTTTGTCTCGGGTGTTCTCTAATGTGCATACCTTAATGGCATATAATTTTGTCTATTAAAATGATTTCCAATTTATTCTCAGCGTCTTTATAAGCCTACTTCTACACACACGCACTAGATCTTGCAAATGCTAGTAGCTGAAGTAACCAAAACGGAACATAATTACTCATATTATTTTTGCTTTCTACATGAATTTTAATGGCATTCTTGCAAAGTTAGACGAGGATTATAGAATCAAAATATGTAGTTGTAGAGTTAAAAGATATTGTCTTTCGTGCAGATTCATTTTTGGAAATGAGGAATGAATACCGTTTAAAGCTCAAGATAAAAATTTATATTTGTCAAAATAAAACAGAAGATATCCCTCATGCCCCCAGTCTCTTAAGCACCTAATGTGGTCAACTAAATATTAGGTATTACATGTTCGAAGGTGAGAAACTCAATTTTCAAATGTTTCATTTTGTAATAATTGGACCTTGAATTATAGGTTTTTTAATAAAATATATTTTATAATTATAAATATTTTAATTGTACTCTATGATTTGGATGTCTTATGGTCTACTTTTCTCTAACAGGAACTTTTGGAGAGATGCTTAAAGAAACAAGCCAAACAGGACAAATCATATTTTTTCAAATTTTACTTTGTTGAAGATTAGTTTTCTTTGATGCAAAATTAGAAAAAAAAAACATTCAATTCTCTCTATATAATAAGTGTGGTTAAATCTTAAACTTTATAGGAAATTTTAGAACAAATGAAAAACAATAGCAATCTAATATTCAAGCTGCAAAAAGAAAAAAAATTTCATGCAATAAACTTGACCAAATCTTAATCAAATATGCAAAACTAACCACGAAGTATCTAAGACTATAAGAACAATGGTAAAAGTTAATAAATTGAAGATCCAAGTTCACATCTATACAAAGAAACAACTGTCGGTTATTATTGTCAAGACTTATAATTCATTCAGAATTTCTATCCAACTAGCACATATATGTTCGAGAGAAAATTTGAATTTTGTTATAATAGAACTAAAGATAAATCTTATTGATGCAAAGAGGGGTATAAATACCATTACAAGATCTATTATAAATGAAAGAAATAAAAACATGATATAATAGAAAAGGAAAAGAATAATAGAGAATCCAAGCAATAACTCCGAATAAATAGGAATTATAATGACTAATACTAGCAATTAATGAATATTCTAATACTCTCCCTCAAGTTGAAGCATTAATGTCGGTCACGTTCAACTTGAATTTGAAATCATCAAACAATGGCTGAGGAAGGTTTTTTGTAGAATATCTGCTAGTTGGTCACTAAATGCATAAATGGAACACAAATCTCCCCGGACTCTACTTTTTCCTTAATGAAGTGTCGGTCAATCTCAACATGCTTGGTGCGATCATGCTAGACCTGGTTGTGAGCAATGCTAATGGTTGCCTTGTTATCACATAACTGTATGGAACAGAGACTGTCATAGTTTGTTCGTAGAGTATGATGCGTAACTAGAGAGCTTCACAAATTTCAGAGAAATGAACAAACTTGCTTTTCCACTTGACTAGGTTACCCCCACACAAATGAGTAGTACCAGAAGGTAGATCGCTGATCATGGACATACCCGACCCAATCTACGTCTGTTTAAATTGTAATAGAATGAGAGGTATGGTGGGATTAAAAAAAAACCTATGCCTAGTGTGCCTTTTAAATAGTGGAGAATCTAATAGACAGCTTTGAGATGGTGCTCATAGGAATCATGCATGAATTAACTGACTATCCCAACTGCGCGACAAATGTCGAGGCGTGTATGGGCAAGGTAGATGAGTTTCTCCACAAGGAGCTGGTAGTGACTCTTGTTTACAGGAACTACATTGGGAACATTAAGAAGTTTTTCATTAGGATTCATTTGGTCAACCACTAGTTTGTATAGGAGAAGATGTTCCCTGTCAAAAGGTCAATCACATATTTTCGCCGAGTCAGACAATTACCTTGAGATGACTGAGCAGCTTCCATGCCTAAGAATTATCGGAGAGATTCCAAGTTTTTCATTTCAAAGAAAGCAACAAGAATGCCTTTCAGAGACTCTAATGTTGATTGATCATTACCTGTGAGAGTAATATCGTCACCATAGATGATAAGGATAGCTACCTGGTCATTGGAGGAATGCAGGAAGAAGAGAGTGTGGTCTGATTGAGCCTACGTGAATCCATTCCCTGCCATCACTTTTGTGAACTTTCTGAACCATGCCCATGGTGATGCTTCAATCCATAGAGGGATTTTCGTAGCCTACATACTTGCCTTTAGAAGACAGTGGAGTCAAAGCCTGGAGGAAGAGTCATGTATACCTCCTCTGTATGATCGCCAATTAGGAACACATTCTTGACATTAAATTGGAATAAGGGACAATCCAGATTCACCGTGAGGGATAAAAAGACTCAAATGGTGTTTAATTTAGCAACTGGAGCAAATGTCGCCTCATAATCAACTCCGTAGGTTTGTGTGTACTCTTTGGTGACCAACCATGTCATGTTGCGTTTAAAAGATTCATTAGATTTAAACCTAATGCTAAAAACCCATCAGCATCCCATTGCTTTCTTGCCCAAAGGAAGATCAACAATGTCCTGAGTATGATTCCGCTAAAGGGCATTTATCTTCCCCATGACAACAACTTTCTTAGTTGGGTCTGCTAAGGTAGCCTCAATTGTAGATGAAGCTGATGATTGGTCAAGGTCATAGCAAATGCTCTGTAGGTTAGTGATAATCTGTGAAGAAAAACATAGTGTGCCACGGGATTGAGGGAGTATGTCTAATTGTGTATCTTACTAGAGGAATTGACTTCTTCATTTGGAGTTGGAGCAGTGTTGGGATGTTGTCCGGAGGGAATTCAGGGTCCATTAAATGGTTTGTGAACTTCAGATTAGGTGCATCAAAATGATTGCGTTGAATGTAGACACTAAGAGTGAAAGGATGTGCTGGTGGAACCAAAGTGACAGAGGGCTCCTTGGTGGTAGGAGAAGTGAATAGAACCAAAGTAACAAAGATTCCTCGATGGTAGATGGCGTGGGGGGAATATCCAAAGGGGTAGGGTAAGTGATAGTGTCTAAGAACTGTAGCTCCCCCTCACTGAGAACTGAGTTAGGAAAGTAGGCAACACTTTCAAAAAAAAAAGCTTCAACACTCACATAAACCTTATTTGTGGTAAGTTCAAGGCACCGATACCCTTTTTGAGTAGCAAAGTATTCGAGGACAGCACATTTTATGGACCTGGGATCAAGTTTACTTCGAGTTGGGGTTATGTTCTGAAAAAATGTTGTACACTCAAAAAATTAGGGATCTAAAGTGAAGAATACCCGATTGTTAGGAAAGCAAGATCTCAAGACGACTAGAGAGGTACGGTAATTTTGAATTTTTTGGGGAACTCTATTGATGAGGTCGGTGACGATAAGAATGACATCATTCCAGAAACGTTTTGGGACATTAGACTGAAACATAATGGAGCAAGTAACGTCGAGGAGATGTTGATTTTTCCTCTCAGTTATCCTATTTTGTTGAGCATTGTCAGTACATGAGTTATAATGGAGGATGTCATGCCCTCACTAATAATTCTCCTAATATACAGTTTAAAATTTCACAACTATTGTTAGTCCGAAGGACTTGAGTAGGAGTTTTGAATTAGGTCAAAAGGAATGTGTGGAAGTTTTTTAAAGTGATAGCAACTTTAGATTTATTTTTTAAAATATGGACCTATGACATCGAGCGTGGTCATCAATCAAAGTAAGAAACTGCCTTTTATTGGTATAGCTGGGAGTGCAAGAGGGTCCCTATAAGTCACTATGAATAGAAGAGAGGGTAGCAAAAGCGTGTAATTGTGGGTTGAATAAGGAACAAGATGATGTTTAGCTAATTGACAGTTTCACATTTGAAATTTGAAAGGTTTTTATTAGTAAACATCAATGGATACAATTATTTCAGACATTAAAAACTATGATGACTCAAACGATAGTGTAAGAACATAATTGACAGTCAAGGGACTGACATAAACTGCAACTACTGGTGTAGTGTTCTCGTTTTCCGTATTTTTCTCTTAGAAGAAGTAGTCAGCCACCCGCTTGGCAGTTTCAATTATTCTTTCAGAATGATGATCCTGAAAGAAACAGACATCAGAGGAAAAATGAGCGACACAATCAATGTCAAATGTCAGCTTACTAACAGATAAAATATTTCACTTCAGCAGAAGTACCAGTTACACAGATTCCAGAGTTAGACATGTTAAAATAACAGACCCTTTACCGACAGTGAAACTTTGGGACCCTTCAATAACTTTTAGAGTATCTTTCTCTGAACAAGGATAATATATCAACAAGGCTTGAGAGCTTCCAATCATGTGATCTGTGATACTTGAATCAATATTCCATGGACTAGAAGAGACAAAAGAAGTGAGTGCAATAAGATTGGTATCTTGACGAACCTGGGAGGTTGGCGAGCCGGAAGAGAGCAGGTTAGATCAAGCCGCTTGATTAAGTGTTCCATTTAACTTTTAAGAGAATTAGAGGATTCCAAATTGTTTTGGGCAGAGGTCAATTGTACTATGTTGGATTCAGAAGTTGTAACGAACGATTTAGCTGGCGGTTTGGATACAGGTTTCCCATGGAGCTTTCAAGTGTGGTTGGGTTTGTGATAGCAATCACAAGTGGTGTGACTTGCACTAGGTTAAGCACTATTAGAGACCAAGGCAGATACTTTGGCAGACGGAGTGGAAGCGCCAAACAGGACAAGTTTCTGACTCTTCGCGGCGAATCTCGATGAAAGCAACACGAGTGGAAGGAAGAGGATCTCGGCCAAGAATACAACTCTAGATTTCGTTTAAGATCTTTATTGAGGCCTGTCAAAAATTGGAACATGTGTTCCTTTTTTATAATTTTCTGGAAGAGAGATAGGTAGGTGG